GGAGGGGGTTGCGGTTGGCAAGGAAGCCTTGTTGGAGAGGAGGACAAGGAAAAGGAACAGAAGATCATGTGTGCCAAACGACTTGTTTGTTAGAGTAGTGGCCTGGCATTCGCTTGCCAATGATCGGAGAAACCATGGGTCCAGCGCAACAGAAACTAGAAATCTTCAGGCTGAAATTGAAAAACTATGATCTACAGTTCTAGATATCTAGCTAAGTGTTAAAAATCACCAAAGTCAGAACTCAAACCCTAGTATCTCTTGGTCAAAGTTTAATTCCCTTTTTTGTTGGGCGTTTCTCTCTCAAACGGGGATATTTTTCTTTCATCTTACTAAGTGATTCTGATCTTACTGAGGTTTTTTACGCATGGCCAACTGTTCTACTTTTTTAGTTATTTAAATTAAAGTAATTACACCATAATAATGGATAATAGCTAATGGGTACAATCATGGTATCAATGAAAAAAATTAGCAAATATAATATTTCAAGATACAATTTGTAATTTTAAATTAACAATGCCCTCCTACTTACTGGCGCTGCATTAACACATTGACGATGGACACATCGGGGACGCTGACGAAAGCCACCGTGTTTCTTATCTCGGCATCCTTCACATCTCCCACAGTCCTCAGTACGATAGCACCCAGAACAACGGCCACATCGTTTAGAAGATGATCTCACCTTTTCTTCAACTAGAATGAAAAAGAACCATTGAGGACATTTCAATGACTCACTAGACAATAATGCTGAATATATCAAATCAATCTAATAATTAAGGCCCAGAACTTTATGAGAAAACATATTTTTAATTATGAGCTTTATAATATGCCAATTATCAAATGTCCACAAAACACAATTAAAAGAACAGGATTTTGGTGATTTTACATGGTATATTAGTGCATTTGTGTTAATGCATCATATTTCCATTACGTTTAAGTTATTATTTATATTTCCTTGCTTATTTGTTTTCAATTTGGCAAATCCCTTGGAATTTCAATTAATATGCATATTTGTCTTCTCAAACCGAAAACTGTACTTCACAAATGGGAATGAGAATGATATTCATGGGAATTCGTAGGGAAGTCTTTTGTTCATTGCAGCAGTATTTGTATGTATTTAGATTATATCATAGTACTAGTGCTCAGAAACAATTTGTACAATTATGAATGATGTGGTAATTTATCTTCGATTAAAATCTTGGTGGCGTTGGAATTGATACTAGGACATGAATACTAAGTAGAGAAAAATGCAAAATTAATTGTTAAAATTAAAAGTTTTGTAATTGTTCATGAACACATAACTGCTAATAGTTAGACCATATTTCATTAGTTCAGGTACATGCTTTACAAATGTTAGAACGTATTTGCATGCATATTTCTCCTTTTGATACAGCATCAACTTCAATGCTTTACTAATATTATTTCTTGTCACCTCACTGACAATTATTAGTTCTGTATCTATTCAATTAATTTCCTGACTATCATAAAAATATACTATTGTGGTAAATTTGATATTATTACTTTGAATGAAATAGTAACTGATATAAATCATTTTCAGGCAAGACAAATATGATAAACACACATTGATACCTTTTAATTTGAAGTTACAGGGTTTTAGAGACAAATGTACAAGATTAGTAATATTTTGTCAATAATAAAATAATGATGTACCATAAAAAATTAAGCAAATTTGTTTACTATGTCCAAGATCTTGCAACTTGTAAACTTTATCCAATGTCACTTTCTGAATACAAGGTTATCCTACTCACACGACTCCATTTTGTCTCGCCTTTTTTTGGATCTCTTTTCATCAGTTCCTGAAGCATTTCGTTCATTACGGTCATTCCGTTCATTTCTATCATTTCGGTCATTCCGATCATTCCTTTCATTTCGCTCTCCTTCTCGTTTCCGAGGTTTATACCGGGTAACTAAAGTTGGATCTTCCTCTCGACAACGCTGAAAAAGAGTTCTTGAAACTAATGACAGGTAAAACATTTATTTCAATATTTTTATGCAATTAGTTACAATCAAGTGATACAAAAATAAAATTAAGTAAGAAAATCAGCAAAGTTGCTGGATCTTTCAACTTATTCTTCTACTGATCAACTTTCTACGTTCAGTAAACTGAACAAATACTGATATCATGTTTGTTTCTACAAACCACATTAAATTTTATAACTTTGTTGCACTTAGTTAAGCATGCAAGAGATTCCACTAATTATTTATTTATCCAATAATCAGCATGAATCCTCTGCAAATAGCATTTCATTAAAAAAATCAGGCTGAAGCCTAGTATACAGTACAACTTACAGGAGTCATTTAACCAGGCACTTTGCAGCGCTCCACTGAGAGAGAAATCCACAGTGGAGGAGATGAGAGTGTTACGAGGGGAACCTTTCAGTGGGGAGGGGTGGTGTGCAATATGTGTAACAGTACATACATATAAAAAGCAACACGAGGACAGTTTCGCTGGCGAAGCTGCTATGCACGCCTTTGGCTTGGGCGCTTTAAATGAATTGGTAAACATACACTTCTGAAATAATTTTAATGGTTTGTAATTGGTCACGAACGTGATGTCAAAAGTTATGGGGGAGCAATTTCATCCTAGAAACTCATCAAACCTTCATTACGAAATGGTGTGTGGTGGCACATCAATTGTGATTTTCTGTGTCAGGTAGCTGTCGTACAGTTAGATTTTTAGCGCTCTTCAGATTCTTTGTGATTTGAATTTTTGAGTGTTGAGTGTCTGTGTTACGATGGTGAGAATAAATATAGATTTTTTTAACTTGTTGCGCCGAAGGAGGTGTTTGGCTTTCATTGAATGGGTACAAGAACTGAGTTTCATTGCTGCAGGATTTAGGTGTGCTATGTGTAGGTGTCCTATGAGCAAAAGCAAAAGAAGTTGTGTGATGGTTTCGAGAGGAAGTGTAGCAAAAAAGGGGCCACTCCTCATGTGCGTAAGTATTCTGTGCGGAAGGGGTCATGGTTTGCAGGAAGCAAGTGGGGTATGATTCAGGTATTAGTAATGACCTAATTTTGGGCCATAAAACCATCAGCCAAACCGCCATAAAAATCGCCTATCGGTAGATTTATTCATTTCTGTCAGAGTGCTTAGCATAATATGAGGGAGAGCCGAAGGAGACTCCCCCCCCCTCCGCTTCTCTAAGGGTGTGCTGTGTACCCTACTTTAACCAAAAATCATACATCATAGAAAATGCCTGACTTAATATAATGTGTGATGTATTCATAGAATTAGTTAAAGTGCAATTTATATAAAACTAATATAAAAGAGTAAAAACTTAGTATATCGAAGATAGTAGAGCAATTGCAAGTTGTTTTCTGAAAAATGATTTGACAGGGATACAAAATTTACCATTATTGCACAAATGGTAGATTTTGAGACTTTATTAATTAGACTGCTGGTGAGGTAGATACCTTTTTATTATGATAAATAAATAAAGATATTGTCTGGTATCAATACTTACGATCATTAGCTGAATAAAAAGTATTGATACCTGACAATATCTTTATTTATTTATCATTTTGAGACTTTGTTAAAAGTTCATCAGAAGTATAATTCCTTCAATTATTTTTCATTTGTCAAATAAAAGAATTTTTAGTTTTATTTGAGGAACATTATAATGAATCACAGAAACAATTTTGTAACTCTTGATACATCGTGAGATTATATAATTTAAAAATATCAAATCATTAAAAATTCTCCTATATTGTAACAGCTCCATTTCAAAAACCTTTTCAGACTGTGATAATTTGCAACCTTGATAATACACCTTGGCATAGACACATTATTAAAGCACAGTAAAGCAAGAATGTGTTCTGAACACTTTGATGTTATATTTTAGATGTAGTGACCAGAATATTAAATTAATACAGGCATATTAATAATTTATACTCACCACACAGAAAAATTGTTTTATGTACTTTGCTTCTTTTTCAGTTATACGAATGCAATCACCATGGTACCATTCTTCACAGTTATCACAACCACTACAAGGAGAAGAAAAACTAAAGATAATGAACAAAATCTTTACACATAAAACACTAACTTAATAGTAGAGTCAGATATTCTTTGTATACAACAAAGATGTACTATTTGTCCTTGAGTCATATTTTTAAAAAGGGTCATAATTAAAAAATGAACTAATATAACTTTTATTACTAACACATATTGCTGCATCTTGCTTACCTGCAAAATAATCTATGAACAATACATGATCTACCATTTTAAAAGTTTGGAAATGAATTAACAGAATAATAATGTATGACCCAAATATCTTCATTGAAAAAACAATATTAATGCAATGGAAAGCCTTTTGTTTTTGTTTTGAAATAAAGAAATAGTTCAAATGAAGAGCTTTGGAGTGCAACAAGATAAGCAGCAAGACTACTTTACTCGTAAATGTTTATATTTCAGTATTGGTTGAGGTGCGCCTCAATTTATTACTGCCGCTTGCCCTTCATAAACATGAAAAAAACATATTTAGTAAAACGATTAGTCACATTTTCATCAAAAATCCAGATATTAACAATTATGAATAGCAAGATGCTTGTTTGGCTGGTGTGGCTTATTACTATCCTACAATATTGACAGCGTGCTGACAGTTCTCTTGCCACGTGCTATGGTATGTTGTGTGAACTTCTCTGTAGCAATCAGCTTGTGAGAATTTCTTTACTTTCTTACTGCCAGGGTTCAATGTTGCCGCTCATCTAAGTCACATGAAGTTGTGGAGATGATAGCTTCAGCTTTAGCAAAAGTTATGAACATGATCTCAAGATGTATTATGTCAGTAAGAGTAAATGTTTTGAGATTTAATTTATCTGTGATGTAGGTGGTGCCATGTGCATAGTAATGTGTGATAACAGTGCATCGAACTGCCAGAGTTGCTTATACGCTGCCAGTACGTGTAAGCCTAGAATCAAAGGTCCGTACTGAACCATAATTACATAACAAATCTACTGAGGAATATAATACATAAATCAAAGCAATCTTTTCAATATAAGCATAATATTCTTCTTTGGAATATTCTATGAAAATGAAAATTATATTAATATACATCTTAAGTGGGATAAAGTCATAATACCTCAATAAATATAATTGCTGAGATAAAATTCACATTCAAAATTGTCAAGAGTACCAGTAAATCTTTAGCATAAACATTTACCTCTATCTCTCAGACAATAGTACATCAGTTTTATCACTATATGATTGTTGTTGTTTTTTTTATTTTAATCATCAGATTAAACACTGACAGTGAACTCTAGGTTTAAAGGACTCTGCAATGAACATTAAATATAGGACAGGCACTGGATTTTATTGCAATTAAAAATTAATTCAAAACAATCAAAAAGAAAAATCTGTGAAATGAATACTTAGTTAATAACATAAAGCATTCAAAATTTCAAGCAATACATATTCTTTGCATAATCTTATAACACTTACATCATAAACCTTGACGAATCGGAAGATCGGCAAATGCAATATGCTTGCCCATCTTGTTTAAGGAGAGTAGCAATTTTTGATTTTCTTTCAGGGAGCATAAATTGTCTTGCAATCTCCTCTTTCTGTAATACCACGCATGGATTCTCAATTTGTATTTAAAATACAATAACATTCACTACACAATTATATTTTACTCCTAATAGACAGCATAAAAAATGTTATCTAGTTAGTAGTAGGTTATAATTGCTTCGAGAGAATATAAACAAGGAACAATATCTCATTTCGTTCTTATACTTACAGAGAGGCCAACATATTCCTTATCTGTCATGATTAAATGGGTATTTACTATCCAGAGGACGACAATTATTCTCGAGTCACTAACTTCGAATTGGAATCGTCTATGCACAGAGCTACATCACGTTTGGGAAGCCAGAAATTACAATGCGCAAACAAACAGAAAAAACTAACTGGAATTAGCAATTAAGCCACACGCCAACATTTTGAATAAACATCACTTGAATATGACTTATCTAGATTTATCCGACAGTGCACGGTAAAATTCTTAAATTGCTTTCTCACATTGGTAAGTCAGAAACATTAACCTATATTAACAATGCACATTCAAAATACGACATCCACTGTATCCACTTTGCTGATAATCCACCACCGCAACTTTGGCGCAGCGAGCGTCCTTCCATTTCTATATAACGCAGTCTGATGTTCATTTATCAATATTTTTAGTCGATGCGCAGTTGGGTGTTTATTGTTTCTGATCTATTTCAGAAGTTTTCGTAACGACTATGAAAGTTTTACTTGGTTTTACTTCGAACATATGATATTCAATTAGTAATTTCTCTATATCACTTATAATAATTATATATGTAGTTTGTTCTTTATGCTGCTATAGTGAAGCGTATAAATCCCCGAAATGTCTAAAGAACCTAACTTGTTTGAAAAATTCACTGTCTTGATGGATCAAAACATACGGGGCGTTCAGGTACCAGTTCATGAATTGTTTCTAAACATATTTCTTGCGGTTCCTTTGCTGTAATATTCATTATCATTTACAGTATGGGGTGTATTCTGTGGCTGTTGTTGGGTTAGCAATTGCTTTGAGAAGTGTAAGACCAGTAAGTCTTTATTAAATAGTAATACACTATACAAACGACAACATTCTTAATTCTTACTTTGAAAACTTTTCTTTCAGTTTAAGAAGTTCTATCGTCCCCAAGATTTTCCAACTAGTTTTATTGAAAAGCATATAAAACTTCATGGGAAAGCTGTAGGAGTCATACCTCCATTTGGTTCTTCACCACCTCTTCTTCTTATTGACCACACACCAATTCTGTCCCTCCAATGGATTCGACCGCAAACTCCAGATCTTCCTGTCGAAATTTCAAGTATCAATTTAACTCCTAATGGCCTTTCCTGGCTTCAACATGTTGTTGTTGGAACATGTGTGGAATTTTCCATCCTGAAAGTAAACCCCACATCAGTTAGTTGCATTGTAACAAAACAGGTAATGAAATGTAACTATTTCTTGTGTTAATTCTATTCTTATGCCATCTTTTGAAATGAATTTAATTTTTCATTTCAGAAGAAGAATGTGGGCCTTGATTTAGTTTCCCTGGGTTTTGCTTCAGTGTCACCTTTAGATTTTCATTTAGAGAAAGATCCTTTATATTTAAAATATTACCAACAACTTCTCCATGCTGAAAATCGTGCAGAAAAAAAGGGTAATGGAATATGGGCCAAAGAAAATGTTGGCTCAATTCCTCGGCTGCTGCAGAAAGTTCCTAACAAAATGAACCATTTAACACTTAATGCATTAAATGCACTAAAGAATGGAATATTAAAGAAGAAAACCAAACTCCAAGCTGTTGCTGCTGGAAATGCTTAAGATTTATTTTTTCTGGAAAAATAATACATTCTTAAATTTCATGGCTACAAACAGTAAGAATAAATTTAATAATTCTCTTGAAAAATTAACATTGTTATACTATTTTCTTTATTAACTTTGTTGTGTACAAATATATTGACAAAAAATATTTTATAAACAAGTGAACCAAAACTTTTATTACACATAAAGTATGCGAGTGATATTTTGAGTAATGTTCTGGAATTTCAAAGAAAACTACTTAGCACATTGTATGTTAAATTGAGCACAGAGAGGCATGGCTAAACTTCGGATATTTAAGCTTTAAAATCTCATTGAGGCCTCAAAAATATGCATTATATTTTTGTAGACAGGTAGTATAAATTGAGATTAATATGATTTTTCAGAATAAATTATATTTTTTCAACTTATATTCTTAATGTATTAGAGTAAACTATTTAAAAAAATAAGATATAAATGGTACACACTTAATTATAACAAGTACTTATATAAAAGCGACAAAATTCACTCATCTCATTAACCTTAGTATTCAAATTATTTTCCATTATATGACACTATATAACTAACACCTCCTAAATTATGTGACTGGATTCTATTACTTTGAACTCTTGTTTTGTAGGCAAAAATTATATTTTTATATTAACATGTTTTTTTGGGGCCCACAAGCACTTTCATTTTGGAGATAATTGACAATGAACTAATTGTATCATCTTCTGAGATTTCACAATTATAATTTTTGATGAAAAGCGAAACCAGTTATAAAATGGTTAAATGATTTATCTATGTCTGTGGCATTTTATATCAAAGTTAACTCAATGGCCAACTTATTTCTACAAAGTATTCTAGACAAGAACTCTTTGATTGTAATTTAAGACAATTACAATCAAGCATTGCCGTAAGAAGTGCAAATGATGTTCTGAGAACAGAATCCTATTTTAAAGATGACTCAGCTGTGAATCATTCTTGTAAATAGCAAATATAATATTCAAAAATCCAAAAATTAGGTTATTAACAGAAGAATAAGCATTTTCAGCTCTAATACCGCAATAGGCATTTTAGCCTCTGCAAAAGTAGTTTCTATAATATTGCAAGATCATGGAATATGTATATAATTAATTTTTTAGTGCATATGCCTAAAAATTCGATGTCTAATTATGACCATAAATTAAAATGTTCTCATCATTTACTCAATATACATTGAATAAAACTGAGTTTAAACTTTTTAATTCTGATGAATTTGAAGCAAAACTTGAGAACAAAATTCCACACAATGTAATAAATTTTCTCATGTCACCATACTATGTAGCATGTGCAATAATGTTTGGTTCTGCTACCTCTTAGTTTTTGGTGTTGCAACTTTCACAAAGCATTATATGTAAGTTCACTTTTTTTTTTTACAGGATAGCTCTTGAATCTAGTGAACCACTGTGTAAAAAAAAAATATTGAAGATGTCTTATTAAAGTACGAGTATTTAAAGTTCAATTGAACAGCTATACAGTCTGACATATCTTAGTAAAAGGTCCCAGAGCATCCATATGTATATTTCTTTGCTTTAGAATCCTAAAATGTTCCTTTCAAATCATTTAAATTATTCTAACACAATATAATCTGAATATTTTTTTAGTTACTTGTATTTTGGCAACTTATATATAAAATATTGATTAATTTCTAAGAATCCATTTGTCTGATTTATTGTCATGAACTTTAAGCATTAGCTACAACTAACTTGGGACCACTAGTGTTGGCATATGGTGCTTGCTTGGATGTTGTGCCTTTGTTGTTGAATACTTTGTTAAGTACTTTAGTTTTTGTAATAATATAAAAGTTGTACTAAAATACAAAATATACAATATTGTTGATAAGATTTTGGAGTTATTCTTTGGAAATTTCCACTCTGGAAGTGTGAGTGAAGATTTAGAAACTTATTTACTATGGAGAATTATGCATCATTACTAATTAGTGCACACATCTTAAAACTACCTATCTACCTCAACCATTAAAATAAACATTTAAATACAATTACTGAGCAATGTTCGTAAATAAATGTTGAATGTTGCTGCAGTCTGAAAACCTAATTTAATCGTTAATTTTGTAGTTTTTATGATTTACAATTTGTTTAGTTAAATTTGGAATTAATTAAAACTGAAACTAAATGCAATAGAAACAAGATACACATTTGACAATAATTGTGATAACTACCTGTTCATACCAATTTAAAACTTAATTATTTAGTGTAATATTCCCTTTTGTACAAAATATTTTAACACTTGTGACTATATTTCTATTTGTTTATACTGTATATATTTAGAAATTTTGGAACCATCTTTTCAAGTTATGAAAAACATAAATACATTCAGCTTCTGCTGAAAGTAGTCTGATAGTCTATTAATGATTCTTCAAAAATTTCTTTGCATATTATTATTGTTTTGTTAAATTATTATGAAGCCCAAAACCATTCTTCTATGTTAAATATAAAATTACATTTCTTCATTGCTAGTAAATTAGACATATTTCCAAACAAATTTCGCGTAAAAGTCTGCAAAGGGAATAATTCAAATAAATAATTCCCATTTTTTCGTATCTGAATTAAACTTTTAGAAAAAAGTGGGGTTTAACCGTAATGATGTAGCGACCTTCAGTTGCGAGGCATGCCGATTCCAAAGTAAACTTATTTTCGTTTTCGAAGTAGCTCGGTGTCACAATATTTTTAAATGACGAATGCATCTGAGAATATTGGAGCTAAATTCTTCAGCCGAGTCGAAGATTACCGACAGCGAAGAAGAGAAAATTGGAGCATGAGATTACGACGCAATTCCGTCAAGATTAAAGTCTTCCTTAACTGCGACACGAAGTCCCATATCCTAATTTCAAAGCATCACTCGAAAATCCCTTACATCCGTAACGGAGTGAGGGTGTGACAGTATGCCCTGTAATAGTTATACGTCTGTCTGTTTCGGGTAATCGCATCCCCACTTTATACTCTAGTTTTTTCTCTACTACCTATTCATTTCTATTTTGCACTTGGATGCATGTCCAAGAAGTTACAATTAAGACGTTATAACCATGTATTTGTTATTACATAAGCGAACAATTGAAACGACTTACAATTGCGATAATGATACTCGTGTAAAATTGACGTGGTGGCGTGTCGTGAACGTCGACCTGTTGCGCATCAGTACGTGACAAATACTACCAAAGAACGTTTAGATTCAGTAAATTTATGAAACATTATCAGAGTCAAATCATTAAAAAAGTTCTTTTACTGAAGAATACTGCTAAATGAGAAATATGATAGTCCGTCGTAAATTGAGTGGCAATTACATATTATTCTCCAATTCAACCCCTTTTTCAATTTTACGACTTCAAGGCAGTCAATTCACGCGCGTGAATACGTTAGGCAATTGTTCAAAGGATATATCAGTTTAGCAACATTAACAGTAGAGTTTCCCAAATGCCATAGGGAATTATATCATTACATGGTAAAAAAAAATGTTTTGTTTTAAAATACTTAAAATTGTTATCATATTTACTGCCCAATTATCAAATCCATACTTTTGTTACTTTCTTTAATTCCTATTAATAGTACAAATTCTCGAAATTTGACATGTACTTGTTGTTCTCCCTGCAGTTTCATTCCCGTTTTTGATCATTTATGTTATCTAGTTCCTTTATCATAGTTGTTCTTCGTTTGTAAACGAAAGGTCATATTACTGCACTTTCATGTTCTTTATTTTTTTTTCTTTTTGTCGAGTGACGTTTTATTCGTTATCTATGAATGTTTTGTTGCACACCTGCTGTGGGCGTGTCTTTCTCATGAGTCACACACTAACAAGTAGTAACCACTAACCTTGCACGCATGAAATTTGTTCCTTATAAAACTGAAAGACTGAAAATAAAGGAATCGACGACTTGTCTTTACAAATTCAAATCATGACCAGTTCAACAGAAAAACTTCCAGAATGGATGTTAAAATTGGAAAGCAAGCAAAAGAAGGTAACAATTATTTTAATTCAAACTGTATAATGTAATGCATAACGGTGTGAAATTGTATTATATATCTTTTGCCTGTATATCTTAATAGCAACATCGATTAGCTCATGACATAGGAGCTGGAGCACCTTGTTTGGCATGCGGCGATAACTGTCCTGGACTTGACCTTCATTTTTGGAGGTAAGTACTTTATTTTTAATGTGAATTAAATATACTTGTTGATTATAGCTACTGTACATCAATTGGACTTTGTGATTGTGCAGGAAGTTGTGCCGCAATTGCAAGTGTAAGAAGGAAGATCATGACGTGAAGGATGATGAAGGATATGAACAATTTGACATACTCTTAGGAAGTGGTAGTCGCAAAACCAAGAAAGGAGGCTGTAAGTTTCTTTTTTGATAAAATAAAGATCCCTCTTATTGAAGTCGGTTATCTTTTTATTTTTAAAAACATGATACTTCTCATAAACAGTTGAATATTATGTGGGATTATTTATGATAATAAAATGCTTCATTTCTTACTTTGCAAATTATAAAAGTATTTTATTAATATTTCCAGTTTTAAATATAAAGGTGCCAGATGATACACAGAATACCGTTGCTGCACAGAACACTTCATCAAGAGGAGTGTCATTTGACTGGTTACCTCCTAATGTTTCAGAGGAAGTGGTAAGTGATAATTAATTCTTATAATACTACACATTTCATTCCATTATTGCAAGGCATTAAGCCCTAAGTAATATGATGTGAGCAACATTCTGTGTGTATAAGTGAAACTCTCAAAGATATATTTTTATTCAGTGTTCTCAGAGCATAGTGACTGTACAATAAATTCTCTTTATTTAAAGAAACCAAAGAATTTATTGTTGGAAAACAATGGGAAATCCAAATACCTGGTGGGATGGTTCAGTGGCAACAACCAATACCTCTGTGGCATTTGATTGGGAGGTCCTAGAGTTCATATCTCAGCAGTGGCATATAACATTAACTACATAGCTAGGCTGAATGCAGCCCCAGTCTGGATGAAAATTCGAGGAGTCAGCTGCTCTGATCTGTAGTTTACCGTTGTTTCTCTGATCCATACCGTGGCAGTACATTAACAAATGGGCCACAAATTGTGCACTTACACTTATGTACTGCCACTACCGTACACATCAAAAGCAGAGAGCACGTCCTCACTGAGGGAGATAACTGGTGGGGGAAACCCCACATAAAGGTCAAGGACGGATTCACATTTTAGCTGTAGATGGTCCACTGCCGCCTCATTGAATCTAAAATCCACTTATGGAATAAATGGCGGTAGTAGGTGGCGTGCCTGAAAACATTAAATGATCAATCAAACCAAGTGATGATTATTCTTTTGCTGTATCCAAAGGTAAGGGAGTGTTCTTGCTGTATTGGAAAAAGTTAAGATAGATTCTTCTGAGAAAGAGACAAAGCTATTAATTACAAAATCATCCTATGAAAGAACTGCTTCATTGACCTTATGAATGAAGTTTTAGAAGAATTGACTAAGTAGGAGTATGAGCTGAGTCAGGTAATGCTTCATTAGTCCATGCAAGGTTCATCCTTGAAAACAATCTTTCAGCACTAGTATTTGTGCCAGAATATAGCAGAAAAAATTGAACAATCCTTCAAATTTATTAATGCATTTATTGCAACACTGTTGAATTATTTATATCAAGTTTCTCCAGCAGATTTGTCTTTAAATTCTTCTCACTTGGTAATAGCCTTTTTCAAGATCATCAACTTATCAAACACTTCATTTTCATTGATTTTGGTGTTTGAGCCTACCTCTTCACAAAATCACACAATATTCACAAAATACAGGACAATTCTACATCTCAAAGAATTTTGCTGGCACCCAACGCCAAAATAAAGGATTAACCCATAAAACATGGTACATATATACACCCTAATTATGGCACATTTATCTGATGGTACATTTATCTGATGGTACACTGGCACATTTATCTGATCTGAGAAAACCTAGGAGGCAAAATAAAAACCAAAACATATAGGTGTCATATAGGGTAGTTGTTGAATTAGATGAAAAGAGACGAGAGGGTTTCTTACAACAGAAGTGGATTCACGAGTTCTTCTGTAAGCTACTCTTAGGACAGTTATTTTTGGTTACTTTTTTTATCTTTTCTAAACGGACAGTTCCTTGGCGTCCAGCTAGTTCCACTAAGGCAGATGCTTGCGACATGTATATTTCTTTTTATCTCCCTGCTGTTATGTCAGCAAATTGAATGTGATTCAAGTCCTGGGATCATAGAAAATAAAACATTTACCTTTCTAGAATTCTGAAACTGTGTTCAGTGCTGTGCATCAAGCATTCAGTAAACTGAAGGCTAGAAGAAGTAGAAAGAAAATGAGAAATTGCTAAGAATGTACTAAAGTCTTTTTGCAGTTCTTGTAAGGGGAAGCAGGCCAATTGTTCCCCTGCAAAGGAATGTCTGTTGATGGTGCAACTGGAGACTCATGATTATGTGATACGCAGAGGTGGTGGTATTACAATGCCCAAAGTGCAATACAGAGTATGTGGCATACGTTGGGATTTTTACCTACCTTGCCAAAAAGAGAATAAAAAAGAACAAGCTCACATTGGCTATTGATTTACATTTGTGAAAATAGTACTATCAATGTTGGTAAAAGAGATATAAAGATGAGAATTTATAAGACCATAATACATCCAATTGTAATGTGCCTCAGAAGCATGGGCCTGCAATGAAAAAGATATCAACTAGCTTAGAATAATTGAGAGACAAATATTGAGTAATATGTATGGTCCAATCCAAGTGACTTCAGGCATATGAAGAATAAGAACAAAACAAAACAAACAACAACAAAAATTGCATAAATGGTGAGAATATAATGTGTTTCATTAAAGCCCTTTGAATAAAATGGATAGATCTTAACAAAGAATGTATAGCAGTAACCTCGCAAAGAAAATTATAGAATATACTGAACAGTGATAGGTCAAAGAAAGAAACAAAGACCAAGAAGTCAGTGTATGGATGAATTTTGCCAGAATGTCCAGGTGCTTAATGAAAGAAGGTGGAGAGTGCCTAATGGACACAAAAAAATGGAACAATATAATCCTTAAAGTAAAGACCCACAAAGGGTTGTAGTACTAACAGAAGAAGAAAATAATAGTGCTCTTCATTTTTATTCAGCATTAGAACTTCTAAATGTGTTTGTTGATTAATAATTGTATTGATGATTGAAATGTATTGTGCCAGTTATGCAATTAAAAAAAAGATAAGAAAAAGAAATTACATACATACATAAGCAATCTTTCATTACTGTAAAATATAGTTAATAATTAAATCTGGACTGAGTATACAGGGTATAATTTCTTGTTTATATATTTGGTTGATATGCAAATGATTGGTAAATATAATAGATAATGTAGTGCAAAAATATTCCTTGTGATTTCAGGCAGCAGAGTACATGCAGCAACTTCCTGTAAGTAAATTACCTATCTCAGGAAGTGATGGTGCTCTCTATCGTCGACAACAATTGACAAAACAAGTGCCTCTTCATGATTTGGATGCTAAGCACTGTCATAACCTCACTCCTGAAGAAATTGAACAGTGAGTGTACCATTGTATTGTATTAATGGAAATTGATGGTTGTCAATCGTAATCAGTGATAAAAGAGTCTTGAATAATTTAAAAAGGCCATGGTAAATGATTCTACTTGTAAATGTTTTCATACATACAGAAACGTTTTTATCTCCAGTATCCAAATTTCTACGTATTTGTACAAATTTGTTTGTACAATTTATTTTACCATTAACTTCCATGGACACTTTGTTATTTCTTTCATCAGGATCCCTGCTTTCACAATCTTACTATATCAAATTAGTTTAAGAGCTGGAACAAATTATTGAATGATAAATTTAAAATATTTCCTCTTTAAAAATCTGAAATATTTGAGAGGATATTAACATTTTTAAACCTTTCACTGTTTCAGACTTATGAAATATTTAGAAAATCTGAAAAATAATGTTGTTGGTCAAGGTTGTGTTGGAAAGGTAAGTGTACTAAATTAACTAGAATTTTTTTGTTTGTATTTAAATTGCAAGTCAACTTGCTGCTCATTCCTAGTATGTATAAGAATCAGCACTCAAATTGAGTCTTAATTTTGTACGAGGTATGTTTCTACTTGTGCATTCAAGAAGAAAGATAAATTGTGTCTTAATTTAAAATGGGTTAAGTGTTTTAAGCTGTTCCTTAAAAGATAAATTTTAATACAAGGTCATGTACAATTTTTCGAAAATTTGGTGTAATTTTGAGTGAAAGTATGGGCAAGAAAGGAAGTGCTGTTTTAGCAGCACTAGTTTATGTTAAAATAACAAACTTCTTTTCATACAAGATTTTTTTAAACAATATTTAACAAATTCTTTAGTTTTTTGTTTAAATTTCAAAACTGCTTTTGAAATAGGAAATAAACATACTTGTTTCTTTTAAATTTTGTTAGCGTAATGCCATAATTGTTAGTTATGTTACAATTCTTGTCAATGCTCATTACTCTTGAGCAAGGATGCTTCTCAACACCATTGTTGAGTGAGAACAAGTTTCATTGGATTTTTTTATATTGATACCTAAATGTTTTTTGCAGGTGCCTGCCCTGTATTCAGAGATGATTACTCCAGTGCCAGGGGTGGAACACTTTTACGCCATGGACCAAGTGTCAGGAAGGCAGTTGATCTCCTCTCAGTCAGCTGACCCGATCCGCCCTCTGCCACCTATGCCCCCTGCCTACAACTCCATGCCCCGCCCATTCCATGCCTCTACGTCGTCTTCTGCTTATGGCTCTGATGAAGATCTGCCTCCTCCACTCCCAACCTCTCTCCCACCTAGGACAGACCTCAAAATCCCAAGCGAGTTTATGCCTGACTGGCGATTGCCACAAGATCACATCTTTGGGAAGGTCATGGAAGGAATGCAAGATATGCAATTGAATCAGGTGGTGAGTTGAAATTTACTCCCCAATTATGTTTTGCGCTAGGTATAAGCCAAATATAGTATAGTGGCGGTATAGCTAGGTATGGTGGTGGATCCAGGAAGGGTGCAGGGACATGGGGGCCATGGCCCCTCCAAAAGGTCTAGAGAAAAAAATTAAAATGAGAAAAATGTTCAGTATATATTTATATTAGAATTATGTAATTATTAAAGAAATAATATTGTATAGTATCATTTACACAATACAAAAATAATATTATATATATTAAACACAATATAAATATAATATCTAATATGTTTGTTATTTAACAAAAATCTGTGATCCCTCAACATGAACGGCTGTATCTGCCCCTGGCTCTAGGTATGGAAGTAGCTTTGCGTGTTTCTACCAATCTGGTGTAATTTTCTTACACAAGTTCATTATACAAAGTGTCCATCAGTATATTTATCTGTGTATGATTTTTGTCAGCTTACATTGCTGAAAAGATGGTCAGCAAGTTCAAGAGAAAGTGAAGTGATCTGCTTACCCAAAGTTACGTTCTTGGGAAGTCTGAAAGAAAAGTTTATAGTTATTACCACAGCTGAGGGTGAATAACAGTATCCCAGACATTATTTCAGATGCTTTTAGTGTTACGAGTCCACATGTTTCAACGTTGATTTTTCTTCAAATAGCCAATGCAGCAATAGACAAAAGAATGACGTAAAATCGATGAAATAGGCAATGAATTATTTACCTCTCGCTTGTGAAATTTTTAAACAATTCATTATTAATTTCTTTTGATTTGGGTTGATTTTTGTTATTATATTTGTATGAGACTTTGACCATTTTACTTCATTAGATTAACAGTGTTCAAAGCTGTGATTATTTCATGTGTCATGCATGGAATCATGACACACGAAAATAATCAAGGCTTTGAATACTTTGTGTGTGTGCGTGCGTGGTGGATGTGTGTGTGTGTGTGTGTGTTTTTTTTGTGTGTGTGTATTTTTGTGTGTTTAGTGACTTCTTCTTCTTCTTCTTCTTGGTCTTTGCTTGTGCTTTTCATGTTATTGTTTCTTTATTGAGTATGAAGTTCTAAATAATTTGGTTATTATTGATTGATAAATGGATATGAAGATAAAATTGTTTTTATTTTTCAGGAATTTCCTTCATCTTGCATCCATGAAAGTTTTGCTTCCGGAACTACTGCCTCAAGTAAATATGACAGACAGCAGCCAGAGTTTTCTAGCAATTTGCTACCGTCCCGATTGCCATCCTCTAAAGGTTCCCTTCATGAACCAATTTCATCTCAGGCTGGATTATCTCAGACTTACGACCAAGGAAGATCATGTTCAGAATCAACTTTGGGAAGCAATGCCCTTCAGAATACTGTAGGTGAATATTCTGCTTCTTCATCTGGCTCCATGTTGGAACATTCTGACAAAGGCAAACAACCGACTGCTCAATTTGGGCAAAGTGTGCTTAATCCAAAGCAAGAGGCACTGACAGGGGCTCGTATGCCCACTGGTGTTGCTGTAAATATTACTGATGTAAATACTGAAGGTATTGCTTCATCATTTCCAGTAAATTCTATTCAGGTTTCTTCCTTGCATTCAAGGGGTATTGTTAATTCATCGGCAATTGATCCACTAGGGAACCCTCTGATGACAAAACCTCTGTCAGAGTGGAAAAATGTTGATAGTAACACCAGCTCTCTCAATTCTATCTCTGGCAGTGGAATATTACCATCATCTGATTCAAATTCATCACTATTGCAAGCAAATTCAATCAGTTCCATCCCTCCTATTGGTGGTTCTGGAGTTCAAGAACTTTCAATTCCTCATTTACAGTCCTCCATTTCTCCAGAAATTGCTGGGAGCTCTCTCAGTTCCGCAGGACATCCAACATCTGATTCACAGATATTGCATTTATCACCAAACATAAGCAGCTCTCTTGGTCCTTCTGGTGGTACTGAAATGAAGGGATTGCATCCTCATGAGTCACGTCTTCCATCCAATATTTTTGGCTCTCTTGGTACCGATAAAGGTGTTGGAATTCGACATGATCCTCAGTCAATGTTGCTAACACCACATGTAGCTGTGAATTCAGAGGCAGTTGGTGGTATCAGAAGTATTGCTGAGCCTTTGAAGGGAAGAAAGCCAGGAAGTAATTCTGGCATCAGCTCTGGGAATCATGAACAATTCACAGAAGAGGATGTCAACTGTATTAATTCTCTTTCTGGTAACATTTGCCCACTTCTAATTTGTACTGATGATCAAATATAATTTTGGAATAGTAATAAACCTTTTTTTCTTACATTCTAGGTTATGGTACTGGAACGAAATCCGTTCCCCAGACTACGCAACTGAATTACGGAAGGCCTGGTTTAAACCAACACATTCTTCCTTCAACATTGCCTGTTGAAGGAGTAAAAACATCAAGTATTATTGCACCTACAGTTGTTCAGAGCAGTTCTGTAGCTACAGATGCTTTACCTAAATCAGCTCAGGTATTTTTGAATGATATTCTGATTTCTGTAGTTTCTATTAAAAACAAATATTAATTCCATGGGGCATAATGGAAAACAGTCTTGCAGAGAAACTCTCAGTTGTCTCATTTTAACCTATAAACTCCTCGGTCCATTAAGATTTAATTTAGAATATTTGGTTTGATACAGGGAGTAGGCAAACCCTCAACCATTTTTCCAGACTTCTTTCGTAGAAAGTTATTTTTGTGCTTATGATTCTCTGTTCAAAAATTTTCTGTTGTTTCTGTTTAAGAATTTTAAGAGACAAGTTTGATTTCTTATACGACTGGTAGGTGGAAGGGCCTGTTTGTTTTGCCTTTAAATTACATAGTGTGATGTGTAGTTAGTGTCACTCTTGAGCAGTTGCATGTTAGGTAGATAAAAATAAATTTAAACATTTTAGAAAATATTTAAATTTATTTTTATTTTTTCTCAAAAACTTTTCGTTTTTCTTGCTAGCAGTCATTTCTCTCTAATGGTCAAATTCTCATTCCCCAATGCTGCCCAAAAAAAGAAGTGTCACTCTTGTATTATTGTAATCTGTTATATAACACAATTAAATATTTTATGAAGAAATAAATGGGGATTCATTTTCATGTACAAATAAATCTATTTCCAGGGGATGTCTTTTAAAATTAAATTATATTATACAATTTTTAAATTATCATATTATAAAATGCTTGTTTTATGTTGCTTACAAATGGATAAAACAAGTAAACCTAAGTTAATCCTTGACAGATGATGCAGCAACAACCCAAATCAATGGACCCTGCTCTTCCAGCCCCCTTCCTTGGCTCTGCTGCTCCTCTGCCAGCTGAAACCCCTGGGGGGAGTTCTGCTCACTTGGACTGCCGGCAGTGTGGCTTGAAGCTTCTGGCTGGAGATGTGGCTGTCTTTGCTGAGAGAGCTGGTAGTGCTGCATGGCATCCAAGCTGTTTTGTGTGCTCTACTTGTGAGGTATGTAATACGTTAAGAGCAATTCCTTTTGCTGTAATGAAACCTTAAAATTCAATTTTACATGACGCCTCAAAAACAGTAGTAATTTTTTGGTGTTTTCCAAACTACTACAGTATTGAAGATAGAGATTTTTTCATGAATGAAATCTGTTCTTTATAGACACATCATGAAATAAAATCATGTGCAATTTTTCAAAAATATGAGTAGTGTAGTTTTCGAGTAATTTTGTGTGAAATTGACAATTTATTAATTGACAATTTAATTTTTTTTTTCCTCCCACTCTCAAAAGCAACTCAGGCAGGAGGGATATTTTTTCTTTGAAATTTCTCTTCATTCATCAAAGGGTAGTTAAAAATTGATGTTAGTCTCATTTCTTGCAACCTCTCTGTATTTTCAAAAATTGCGGAAAAGTTAACATTTCAAACCAGCAATAGAGATTTTTACCTTAAACAAAATGTTCTGAAAAATTAGCTATTTAAAAAAGTCATGTACAGTTGGTCATTTTCATGTAATCAGTGCTTGAAATTAATGCAATTTATAAAAAACACATTTTCTCAAGAAATGCTAAAAATGTTTCCCCTGGATAAAACAAGCGATACTAAAAAAAAATCACATGGCTCATTTTTGTTGAAATCTCAAATTCTTTGAAAATATGAAATTAAGAAATAATTCAGTACGTGCTGTTGTAGCACCACATGTTTATTTTATATTTAATTCTAAACTTCAAACTATCTCTCCATTTAATATTACTAAACATACTTCTGCCCATTGTAAAGAGCAGTTAACAAGTTTCATACATTGCAATTATCACTAATACAAATTTATGTTCTAGAGAAAATATTGAGTATGTGATTGGTTTTAGAGATGTCGTAATTGCTGGTGACTTCAAAAATTCCCTGCCTCCCAAACTTGATCCAGTGATCCTTGATTTTAGCTCTACGGCTATTAGCTTTATGTCTTTTTCTTGAATGAAGTATTCTTGTTTTAAATTTAATTGTTTTAAGACAGCTATAAACTGTCAAATTTATTTTCAAATTTCAGCATGTAATTGGAAAGATATCTTGTCAGAGACAGAATCATAACAGTGATATAATTACCCTGTTTGCAACTTATTAGAACATTTCCTAATGCTTTCTTGATACCACAGTTAAGCAAACAGACAAAAAATTAGATGTAGTGGGTGAGGGTGATGCATAATATTTGTTTGAAGGCCAAAGTTATTTCACAAGTATTAAACATGCTAAAGCATATAATACATTTATTATTAAAGCCTTTAATTTCTATTGGTCACTTTGTTTTAATAATGTATCTATCATTTTTCTTTTTAACATAATTTGACAGCCCTTTATGGATCTTATTTTGCTTTTTGTTGTTTTCTACTCATGAATCCAAAATCAGGGCATAAATCAAAGCAACTATTATTGTTTTGTTTTTTTAACTAATGTTATCACATCACCAATGTTTGTGTGATATAATGTTTGTTACCATGAAAACATGAAGGCAAATGAGTTCTAAAGGCCATTAGCTCAGTGATTATCAGTAATAGCACAGAGAGAAATCAGCATTGGAAATGATTTGTCTGGCTAACCTTGTCCTCGATAAATGTAACCTGTATAGAATAGTGCCCTTACATCAAAATGCCAGAGAATGCTGCAGGAATTGGAATTGTTTGGCATAATGCCCTTCCATACTGGACAGCCACAAGGTGGACAGGGGTTTTAGGGAGGAGCAGCAACTAGTTGATCAACATAGTCTGCAGGGTCCACGCAACAGGTTACCAAGAACCAATCTCCCCATGAAATTGATAGTGATTACCATGGGCAATATTGTGGGCTAGTGACAGCAAATTACTACAGGAACTTTGTGCTGGAAGGTACACAATGTGGCATTAGGGAGAAATGTTCTTATCTTCTGGATCGCTCCATAAAGTCACAAAGAGCAGTGTTCAGGATGGCTACAGCATTATTTGGGATGAGAAGAATTGGAGCTCCCACCATATCATCTGGAATTTTCTCGACGTGTCTTTGACCCCATACAAATGATATAGAGAACCATTACACGGTAGTCTGCTTTTGACACTTGGAAATTTCAAATGCTTTGCAACATGAAATGACCATTTTTATCCATGGCGAGGAAAATGGTGAAGCAGAGGTATTCAGCATCTCTCACATCGTTAACAGCATGTTGTGAACATTGTAAGGGACAACTTTGAGGACCTTGATAATAAATATAGTTCATACTGTAATGATTCTAGAACATAAAATCTCAGTTTCTTAATAAATATGTGGGACACAATTTGAAGCATGTTGTTTAATATTCATATACTGCATTGATTCCTTGACCTTTCATCTGTATTATTCTCATTTTCCACCCACTGGTATTTTCTGAAGTAAGTAAAAATGACCATGACTTATGCCCTACCTTCATATTAAAGAATTTTAGTAGAATACTTTTGTCCCTATAACTTTTCAATCCATTGATTGTGATTATCTTTTCTTATACCATAGTCTTTTCTTATACCATCATGTTTCTTGCAAAATTTAGTTATTAAATTTTTAGCTTAAAGTAGAGAGTTCAGTACACCTTTAGGAAAGAGTGATTAGGCAGGAGGGATATTGTGGGGGAGGGAGAAAGATGAAGGTGCCCCTCTGCAATTTCAGGCCAATATGGCCCGAGGGAGAAGTGACGGTGTAGCTCCAACTATTCGTTGCCGTCTGCAAACAAGGAGGAGGTTGTATGGTGAGCATAATGCTCTGGCTGAGTCAACCCCAGAACTGCCATAAATGGAAATTACCAGAGAAGAATTCCAACATATGTTTGGGGGGAAAGGAAGATGAAATACCTACAAAACAGGCTTTATTTTACTCACTTCTAGCGCACAATTTCCATAGCATTTTTGCGGCAAATTACATTGATGGTAAAGTAGATGCTTCACTACACATTTCCTAGTTGTGAAAGATGCTTTAGCCAATTGTTCTTGCAATAAACATAAAACATTATTGAGTCTGTATAATATAATTATCAGCACATATTGTACCAAATTACTTTTAGGAAAACTAGCCTCATAAAACCATTGGATGGTAAATTCAAATAACTCAGTTGTGTGAAAAAAGCATTTACTTTGTCATTTCTGTTAAATCCATTTATATCCGTCTCATTGTTTTGCTGTTTTTCACTACCCCTGACCATTGAAAGGTTCCTTTTGAAACTAAATCCCCTCATCTCCTCTACTTTTGCCTGAGTGATGTGAACAGCTGTCTTAAACAACTTCCTTAGGTTGGACCATATTGTTTCAACTAATATTTCTTCAACTTAGATTACTTTACTTTTATACATGCTAACTAGTGAAGATTTATCCATTTATTTTAGGAACTCTTAGTGGACTTGGTGTACTTCTATCATAAAAGTAACGTTTATTGTGGCCGCCACTATGCTGAGTTGATGGGCATTCCACGTTGCTGTGCCTGTGATGAGGTATATTTACTTTTCTTCTGTGTTATATTGTTGCAATTGTATTAGTGTTTCAAGCCATAAGCCTTGGTTAGACTATCTTACATATGTATTCCTTCCTGTTAAGCTTTTTAAAAATGAGGTATATTCTTGAAAATTTCAATGGAAATCGTGTTTATAATAATATTAAAAAAAGAAAGACTTTAAGATGAGATATCCAAATATCTACAAAAACAGGAATAAAAAGTAATTTGAGAATACTTTGTAGGCAGTTTCCTTATAGCATTTCTGAGGGTAAGAAGTATTTCACTTGTAAGACTGTATCATGTGAGAGCGTAGGCTTCCGCGGCCAGAGTCAGTATTTACTAGGCTGTCCAGGTGACACCACGTCCATGGCGAAGGTGCCGACGTTTCGGTTGCCGTTCTGCGACCTTCCCGCATTACGCCCTGAGGAAGGTCGCAGAATGGCGACCGAAACGTCGGCACCTTCGCCATGGACGCGGCGTCACCCGGACAGCCTAGTAAATAAAGACTGTATCAGTTCCCATACTTAAGATTTTGTGATTAACAAACTCTTTAAGATATTATTTCTGCAATCACCGAGTCAAATAACTCAATAAATGGATCAAATAAAGTTTTTCCAATTCTTTATCAAACCTCGTAAGGCAGACTTCTCTCCCTAAGAAGGAAAAACTGTAAAATCTTAATAATTTCAGTAATCTCTAATAATGAAATCTCAATTATTATCAGTTATTGAACTACATGATTTATTTATGCTTTTGTTTCAGTTGATTTTTGTGAAGGAATACACAATTGCAGAAGAGAAAGCTTATCATATAAAACACTTTTGCTGTTATGAATGTGATGACCCATTGGCTGACAAGCAGTATATATCAGTTGAGGATCAGTCAGTCTGTTTGGAATGCTTTGATCACAAGTATGGGAAGAAATGCCATACCTGCAAGAATAGAATTACAGCTAGTGAACAGAGACTTGGTTGGAAACACTTGAACTGGCATGTTCAAGGAAACTGCTTCCGCTGCTATGAATGTGCCAAGTCACTACTTGGTGGTCGATTTGTAGTGAAGGAAGACCAACCTTTCTGCAGCAAGGAGTGTGTCCAAGCTGGACTCCAGAAGATGGCTGGAGCAGCTTGAGACAGCTCTTGATATTTTTAAAATTGATGTTCTCAAGGTTGAGAAATTTATTAGTTTAAAAAAACTAAGATCAGCCTGCATTTATTTGAGGAGCTCTATTCTTCTCAATCTATCCTTCCAAATCTTGCTGTATTTTAAAAGTACTATTCAGTCAGTATTATACCTCTCAATTACCCAGGTACGATGTGCCATACATCTCTATCCAAAAATATTACTTTTCCACCCAATGGAAAATCCTTAGCATCAGATCATTACCTTTCATATAAAGTCTCTATAAAATTGACTGCATCATCTGGGACCATTGATTCTTTATGAAGAACATCATTATATCATTCACATAAATGCTTTGCTCCTTCAAAGATAAAAATTCAAATTTTCTTGCTAAATCGCCGCATAGAAACGCTTTACACTGAGAGAGAACACTGCATCTACCAATGACCTAAATTGCATTTGATCATGAACAAAAGATGCACATCATTGTCAAGCAGCTAGAAACAGAGACTCAACAGTTACTACTCTTGTCCTTCCTATCTTTTGAGTTACCTCACAAGGCAATCTAGAACAAAACTACATTATAGTTGGTATTGAAATGTGTTTATTTTTCATAACTGGCAGTGCCATAATTAATAAGGATCAAATAATTTTCTAGTCAGTTTTTTGGGTCCATTGGTTTTTAAGTAAGTTAGCTCATGGTGTTGCCTCAATCTGTTCTCATGGCTCAGCTGAAAACAATTTACCAATAGCAGAAAAACATTCATTGTTATCTGAGGAATCAAGTGCCTTTGTGAGAGGCTGAAGTCATATAACAGTAATATTATACATGTATTTATGATATAATATTTACAATGTATTTATGATATAAAATTGTCTGTATTTGTAATATTGCTATTAATTCATGGTCTTCCTTATTATCATACTACAGAAGGATCTGGGAAATAAAACTGTTAAAAATGCCTCCAACTTTAGAAAGTTAGTAATATGGGAGAATACAATATCCAATTTTCAAAACAAGTAACCATGATTTGTCCTTTCCTTTTATGTTGTGTTTATAGAAACTAATTCTCTTTCAAACAACAATTTATAAACAATAATCATAACTTTACAGTTGGCCCAAACAACATATAAAAACCAATAATTTTGTAGTGGTGACACCCAGCTTCTGTTATGCTGTATGATAAAAAAAGAGGACTGATGTAATTATTGCTTAGAATGTACCACCTAGCTCTGGCTGTGTGACTTTTTTACTCCAATTAACTTTCAATAATTTTTCCATTTTGATATCCATATTTCATTTTTATAATCAATAGTAGGTGTTTTTTTCCATTCAAAATATTTTATAAGAATGTCAAAGACATTTCCCATTCCACTTTAGTAGCTAAAATGTATTTAGTTTACTTGCATTTCTGTTTTATTCTGTGGTACATGATTATCTTCAGTAACATGGGTAGATTTAGCAACTATCTTTTTGATCAACCCTTTTCATGTATTTATGTAGGTATGTACGTGTATGTATGTAATGTGGTAATACAGCCTCATGAGGCTAAGATTTGCCTTGACATGCCAGCCTGATGGTTAAGGGCTCGGGAGACCTGTGATGCACCCCCCTTATACCATTCACTTGGCATTTTTTGCCTGAGAGACGCTTTTGTGTTGTCACACATCTATATTAACTGGGGCGTAGCTTGAAAAGTGCTAATTTAATTGTTGCCCTGTTCGGGAATTGAACCCCGAAATCGCGACATGAAAAATGATCTTGCTAAGAATGTGCCACTGGGGACATGTTATTTTTCATACATACCAACAAATAAATAATAATTGCATAAAACTTAGTTTTATTTCATATTAGTATTGAATATGAGTTTTAGAAATTGGTTTCAGTAATCTTGTGTAATTGTTTTGTAGATGTATGGAAATGAAAAATATTTTACTGTTGAATGTATTTTTAACATGTGTAATTCTAAACATAATGAATTATTTCCATGATGCAATACTTCTAGAATTGTTAATGTATACTCTGTAAAAGTGGCAGCTGATACAAGTAATTGCTATTGGATGCTTGATTATATATTTTTTTAAGAACAAATATCAGTGTCTAACAGAACATTTTATAATATTTAATCCAAAGAGATTTTTCAAGTGTCTTGATAATACAGAGTTCAGTTTCTTGCTCCAAATAAATGAAGGGTATTTGAATAACACATAATAAACAACTGTTGTTTAGAATGCACATTGGAAGAACATGTATTATTACAGCATTTTCCAGTCTTTTGAATACCCTTCAAAGTGAAGGAATGCAAATATTTTTTTAGAAAAATTTATATTTTATACTCTTTTAAAGAAACTTTTTGAACAGGTAAATTTAATACGTAATTTCAATGAATAGGTGAATTGTACTTTAAATGGATTTCAAAAATTAGAGTAAAACTTGCTCAATGCAGAATCTCAAGGGACCAATATTTTTTTTGTATTAGACAAAATTCCACATTTTGCAATGTTATTCTGTTGAATATATTTTTGGTGGGACCATGACTTATGTTCACATTAGACAGATTTCAGTCTTGCACACATTCCACATTGAGCAAGTTTTACTGTATTTCTTTCGCTTCTAGCAGTGGCTATACAATTTTAATATTTATCTATTGTATATACCACTTCCTAAAATACATTTGCTTTTTAATTTCATTATATGGCTCTGGGTTCTTCAAGGTTGTGCCATATTTACTTTTTGAAAAAGTATGTGCAAAGTCTTGTGGGGTTGAAAACAAATTAATGTTTAGTGGATAATGTTTATTAGTTCTCTTTCATGACATGATGTTTCAAGTGCTCAGCGCAAGACCTTTCCAAATGATATTGCTCCAAAAACGGTTTATTCGTATTAACTAATAGCCCCTATTCCCTTTTCTTTCCTTCTAATGTTCCTGTCTTGTTTGATACCATAACAAACAGTTAAATTGTGCATCACTAAGTTTTTTTTAATGTTTGTTGTTTTTTCAACATTTTATCAGAATTTTAGGAAGTTTTAATATTACAACTAGTATGTTTTTGGGACATTATCACTTGAAAAGAGGTTGCACAGACAACCCAGTACAAAAAAAAAAAACACACACACACACACTAATGAATAATATCCACAAAACATTAGTTGTTTTCAACCTCAAAAGGCCTTGCAAATACTTCAATGTTACTTGTTCTTAGGGTTGTGGAACCTAAGTGATCCATTACGTTTATGATAAAAATCAAATGATTTGTGTATTTCTGCAAATTAGTAATTTTCCCATAAAAATGAGAAATAATATGCAAATTAATCTAGATAAGGTAAAAACATGATATATGTTTTAAAGAATAAATAATAGAAAATTTTATGTATATATTTTGATACTTAAAAACAGAAAGGTGCAATGTGCCAAATGTGTCAGTAAGTGACAATTTAATATTTTCTGAGAGGTTATTTGATGTTAGTGATTTTAATGTCAAACAATTAGTAATTCATGGCAGAATGAATTGGTTTTAACCTTGTTGAAACCGTCAGTGTTCAAGAAAAATGACACCTCTCAAAAATTGTCATTTAGCAGAACCGTTCTAGCAATGAGTGGATTTGTTAATTTTGCAATCAAAAACAGTTAGGATAAATATTAGCTTTCCTGTGTTTATCTGTAATACCAGCTTTCTTGTGAATCATTTTTACATTATTTTTGCTACTAGAAATATGCTATTTTCTAAATGTGTTTCTATACTTAACTTAAAATGGCAATTTGTCATTTCTCATGTGCACTAGTATCTGTGGTGAATCGGGTG